TATTATCACTACCTTTATTCCATAATGCATTCCATTTCCAAGATTATTAACAGTCTTAAGACACGTCCCATCGTTACCATCCTGCAATGTTATGAACCTATTAATATAACATTAATAACTAGCCACACCCCTACCACATCAACACACCCATTTTTACTAAGACTGACAATCCTGTCCCTGTCTCCAGACTACATTCCTAGTAATAATAGTCTCGGACATAACTAGGAAAAGATGGGCATTAATTGGAAATTGTGGTGGGCATTAATTAAAATGATACATAAAGGCTTTTAAGTGATTGTAATAATTGGTCTAACCACAAACTCTCCGTTAATTCCCTTCCTCTATAAGTTTAAGATACAAATTTGCCCCGTTTTAGTACCAGTAGCTCCTCCTTTATCCTCGTCTGTCCTATTAAATACACAGTATAATAGTCAGTATCAAAATCCAAAGCTCTGTACCTGGTCATACAGGTAATATCGTGTACTGGAGGATGATGGCCCCAAAACACAATAGGGACAATAGTGTCATCATCATGACTAGACAGACTAGTTGGGGTATTGAAGGGGCTGGCCCGGCGAGACTATTGGGGTATAAAAGTTTTCTTGACACAATGAGTTAGACACCATTTTACACACATGGAATCACGTGGACTGCGTGGGCTCTGACTTTGGGCGTGGCTTGATAAGAAAATTAATAAATAAAGAACACTGATGAGTCACCAGGACTAGAAATGGACTAGACCAGAAAAAAGGTAATTTTATGAATTTTCTCTTTTAATACCAGCATACCTTTCCTGATGCATGTATACATGCACTTTAACTGTTTAAATGATAGAAATGAAGTAGGGTCTGGCTACGCAAGCTATGTTGTGTAGAAGTTTGTGCTTATTTTCATCAAAATTAGATCATTTTTACAAATTTTTAAAGTTGCTCAAAAATGGGATCAAAGTCTCTGCGGGGTCATGGGCCAAATTTACCAAAAAATGAAATTGAGGAAACTTTGTTTTTATAATTTTCTGATACATAATGTACGGGTACATGTTTTTATGTTGTGTTGAGTGTTTGAGCTGATTCTGATCAAAATTGGATCTTTATAAATTTTTACGACTTGGGTGTTTGATTTTCTTATTTTCAGAATTTTATGGTTCACATAAGTTACAATTAATTAATGTGATTTTATTATTTATTTATTATTCTTCATAGGTTGAGTAGGTGGACTAGTCTCGCCCCGCTCTTCGCTACCTGTAGAGGAAGGAAGACCGTGTCTCCACATAAAGGACACTTCTGTATAACAGAGACACCTTCTTGTATCAAAGTGTGCATTAGATAGAGGCCACAAAATTTTTGGGCCATGAAATTTTTCCGCTATACGGTATTATTACTATTATTGTTATTATTATTATTATTATTATTATTATTATTGTTATTATTATTTCTATTTCTTTTTTGCAGCTGTGAAGGAAATTAAGAAATCCCACCTGGTTGAAGTGAGGGCTT